CCCCCCCCACCCCCCCCCCCCCCCCCCCCCCCCCCCCCCCCCCCCCATCTCTCTCTCAGCTCAGCCAAGCTCATCAGGGGCTCCAGTGTGAAATGATGAATCTGTATTTATGGGGATGGAGTAATTACACAGCTAACCTCTGAGGGAACCCAGGAGGGCCACAGGGCCACCGAGCAGGGCGCAGGGTGCTCAACCTCATTAGCACTGTGAGTGTGTGCATGTGTGAGTGTGAGTGTGTGTGTGTGTGTGAGTGTGTGTGTGTTCAAAGGAGCAGATTGAAACACAGTTGTTTTGATAGTTAAGCCTGTCAATGAGGAACCATCAATCTGCATGCTTCCAATTGATACACTTTTCCACATTAAAATAATCGATTTTCTTGCATTTTATATGTCAAATTAATTATTTCACCCCTTTTTTTAAATTACCAAATGGACTACAACATCGGTGACTTTATACCTAAAGGCCCAGCAGAGTACAGTAGTCCATTCTTCTCAACAAACATCTGTCATTTTCCACTCCACAGCTCCTGTGTGCTCCATATCTCTGCTATCTCTTATCCTCGTCAATCTCTGTCATTACCTCCAGACTCCTTTATCTTCGCTCTGAAAATATGCTCCACTGACTTCCGTCGATAATCACGGACATTCCTCTCGAATGTGGCCGACCATATCGATGCCTCCCGGCCCATCTGCTGGACAGAATGTCCCGGCATACCCTGCGGATCCGCTGTCAGAGCGTTGAGGAAGAATGACACCTAAAATATGCTAGTTGTTGAAATAGCGAAAATAGTTAGTTGTCAAAATTGCAGCAGTTGTTTAAACCGACATACATCATTATTATTATTACTATTATATAGTTACTAATAGTATAAGAATATGTGCACAACAATACGAAACTGTGTGTGCATAGGGACGGAGTGTTTGTTAAATAAAGTCATACTGGCCACAGAAAAAAGCAAATATACACTGCGCACACACACCTTCACACTTGCACACACTTCACAGGTTTTCTGTTGTGTATAGACACAGTGAAGGCTGCAGAAATTAGATCACACACACCAGCACACACACACACACACACACACACACACACACACACACACACACGACCTAGGCTAACCAATGCACTAATCGCCTGCCCCGGGCATAGGAGGAGCTTGGTGCTTAAGTAGGCTGCCAATCAGTCAGTCAGCTCCACATCCAGAAGCTCCCGCGGCCAGATACACGCATCACTCCGCACTCGAGGTGCCAAACTGCGGCTCTGACACAACTCCGGGTCGGTGGAAGTGGGGAAGCTTGACAGTTACTTAAAGGGGGACTCTGGTGATTTAGACACCCCCTTCATCCTCTACTTCTTTCTGGGAATTGCTACTTTCTCTTTTTTTTTTTCTTCTTCATTCCTGCCTCCTCTTGCTGTTGTGTGACTTTGGCTTTAAGAGAGATTTACAGTACGCGCTTTTCCGGACATGTCTTTCCCTCAGCTGGGGTACCCCCAGTTCCTCAGTGCCTCCCACGAGGTGTACGGGGGCGAGCGGCCGGCCTCTGCCCGGGAAGGAGGCACTGAATGCGGCGTGAGCTCGTCCGCTACCGCCGCGGCTGTCGGCTCCATGCTGGGGATGTACGGGAGCCCATGGGCGGCTCACAACTACAGTGCCTTTCTGCCGTACAGCGGAGCCGCAGACCTCGCCCTCATATCCCAGATGGTGAGAATTGATACTTGTTCAGACTGAAGCAGTTCAGGTGTTAATATACTTTTTGTTGTCTTGCTGAGAGTTGTCAATTGCAAACTAATGCGCTATTTTCCAAAAGTGTGCAGTGACTAAGATATTCAAATACAGATCATTCTTTTTTTCTGGGATGTTTGTGGCTGAACAATTGTAAATAAATATGAATTAAATTAAGTCCAAACCGTCCACTGTCAGTTCATATTTCATTATCTTTATACTTAAATGTTTAATATGTGTATATAGGTTCTGAATGGCAAATTATTGAATCATCACACATAAGAGAACTCATCTCTTAGGTTAAAATTAAATTTCGTAATTGTCAGTTCAGATTTTTTGGGTGTAAATTATGGATATTTGAAGGAACAATCTAATTTAGACGTAACCTACTGTATATGTAAGACAGCGTTTATTATTTAGGAAAAAACACAATTAATTATTAATAATGAAACGTCATGTTCAGAGAACGTTTGGAAATAAATTATATTCCTAATTTCAATTAAATCGAAATAATGATTCAAATGTTTAGATGTAATTTATAAAAGACAACCACTTTATAAAAAAAACGATTGTCAAACAAATAATTGATATTGGTTATTTTCTAAATTCATGATATAATTCCTAAATTTCCTGCGTATTTGTCAAACTGACAGGACGTTGGAACTTTTCAAAACTTTATTGCTGCACAAATAATAATTCAAATGTTATTTATTTTTGTCTCTGAACTTGGTGAGCAAATCATTTTCAAGACAAGTAGCTCAACAAGTTGTCCTCTCTCTCTCTCTCTCTCTCTCTCTCTCTCTCTCTCTCTCTCTCTCTCTCTCTCTCTCTCTCTCTCTCTCTCTCTCTCTCTCTCTCTCCCCCCAATAACATTTCAGGGCTCCCAGTATGAGCTGAAGGACAGCCCGGGGTCCCACCCTGCCTCTCTGCCGGTCCACGCCGCTCAAGGCTTCTACTCATATGGCCAGTACCCGTACGGGGACCCGTCAAGGGCCAAGACGGCCACCCGGGAGACCACCAGCACCCTGAAGGCCTGGCTGCAGGAGCACCAGAAGAACCCCTACCCCACCAAAGGAGAGAAGATCATGCTTGCTATCATTACTAGGATGACACTCACACAGGTGGGCAGTGCTTCAGCTGTGGATTAGGATAACACATTTGCTTGTTTTTTCAAAAGTGAAGTACTTATCACTTCCTGTAAGAGCAATAGATAATCTAATTGTTACATTATTTAATATGATAATCCAGCTGTGTGACTGACTGATAGCCCACTTGAATAAAGTCACACTTCCTCCCCGAGAGAGACAAGTCTCCAGATATTTCTGATTTCAAAGCTCCTTTAATGATAACGAAGAATTATGACGAATAATAATGAGGATTTTTACATATTTAATCATTTCATATTTCTAGTCGGCAGCCCCGTGTTTTCAAAGGAACCGTGATTTTATTCTGTTTTATAATAAGTGAAATAAAAAAAACGTTTCCTTCTCCCAGGTGTCGACGTGGTTCGCGAACGCCCGCAGACGCCTGAAGAAGGAGAACAAGGTGACCTGGGGCCGCAGCGCCGAGGACCGGGACGGCCGCATCTTCAGCAGCGACAACGAGGACGAGCCAGGCAAGAACGGCAGCGATGACGAAGACGAAGAGGAGGAGATCGATTTGGAAACTGTCGATATCGAGAGACCCGAGGAGCAGCAAGCAAGGGAGCAAGGCTCCGGGAAGGGAGAGGGAGAAGGAGAAGGGGAGGGAGAGAGTGAGGGAGAGGGAGAGGCAGGCCTGGCCGACAGAGAGCAGGCCTCGGAGCCGAAGAGCTCAGAGAGTAGCAGGACGCTTTCTGTGGAGGGCCTGCGAGGGGTGGAGGCGGCTATTTCTCTCAACAGACCGCCTGTTGTCAAACTCGCAGTGGATCATTCTCCCAGCAGACAGGAGTGCCAGAGACCACCGCAGAGCAAACCCAAAATCTGGTCCCTGGCTGAGACCGCCACGGCCCCGGACAGCTCTCACAGACCTTCCCCCGCGGCCCACGCGCACCACCCGGCTTTGGCCTCCGTCGGCCACCCGGCCTTACTCCCGGGTCATGGGATTTACACATGCCAGATTGGCAAACTGCACAACTGGGCCAACGCGGCTTTTCTGAACGCCAACTCGCTTTTGAACATGCGGTCGCTCCTCGGAGGGGCGCCGGCCGGACACCTGCCTCTCCACGGCGCGGTTCCGGTTGCGCGTCATGACGCACGGCCGGCGGCGGCGGGGCCCGGAACATCGGGGACGGAGGATGACAGTGATGTGGAGTCGTCGGGAAGCTTCAGTCCAAAAAGAGATGGTATGGACAACATTAGATTGTTCAACCCTGTGTAATTAATATGTTTACTGAACGAGCGTCAGGACTGTGAAGCATATGTCACCAAGAACTGATCCAAAATAATTATCTTTATCACAGTACAAAGGGGAATTTTGAAGATAATTCTCACTAATAAATTGCTATTTATTTGGTCTTGTTTTTCGTTTTACAGACGAGGAGAGCGACCACAGGCCTGATTCCCGGAAGTCCCCATTCCAGCTGATCACTGACAGGTAACCTCGTGCATTTGAAATCAATTTGGCATCGCGACATTATCAACCTCAATTTCTCTCCACATGTCCTCTGCTAAATGAACCTTAAAGCAGAGGTAAACACTGTTACACCTGACTGGGCTGAAGGCAGACCTCAGCACATAAATCATGTGATTGAGTCCCCACTTTAACGCCTCGTCAGGCAGCGGTAATATACCCTGCCCCCCCCCCCCCCCCCCCCCCCCCCCC